TACATGTATCTCTAGAACGAAAATAGAACGGAATATAAAGCTAGCTTTTCTTTCATTCCCTGGTAACGATTCTTCTCCCACATCCTAGTGACAGGAGCCAAGAACTGAGAGAATGGAATTCATGAAAAAGCAACGTATAAAATGTTTCAAAGTCAGTGTATTATTAGCACCTGTGAGTCTATACTTATTCAAAGGTCTCACATTAATCTTGTATGTAAATAAGACATTTTCCAGACTTGTAAACTAAACAGGCCTTAAAAACAGGAAACAATTGGGGTTTTGTGCATGAAAAAAAAAACACACACACACAAAAAACCAAAAAAACCCAGAGAGCAGTATTTAGTCTTGGCAGACTCTCCCTCTCCCCTTCCCAAAAAACAGACTTCAGTTCTCTTATCAGGTATGAAGTGAAACTACAGCTCCGAGTGGAAAATTAGGACCCAGTCTTGTAAAAACAAACAGCTTCCCCTTATAATATGGCTCAAAGACAGGCAATAAACCCCAGCCCTTAAGCAGTGCCTTCTGTAGTACGGCCCAGAGAATTGCATTGATGTTGCTCAATTAGCCATGAGAAAAATGCTAGGAAAAATGGCAATAATCTAGAACAAACAGATTAGATCTGAAGATAACAGTCATAATATTTTCTTCCTTCCTGTATTCTCTCCCCCTTACCGCTCCCCCCGCTGCCAAGTATCTGTACTCAAAGCAGATTTCCCATCTTGTCTCTTTCCAACTGGAAAGAAAAAAAAATTAAAAAAAGGCAGGGGGGATTTACTATCTCTGCACATTCATCATAAAATTTTCCAGGCCCAATAAACCCTGTGGGCATGGAAAAAATGTAACAGTGCTTCTTCGTCAGGCTTGAAATTGCTGGAAGATAATCAGTAAAACATGTCTTGCAAAAATCAGATGGAAAGCATAAAAATATTTCAGAAGAAAAAAATCCACCAAATGACGCAAAAGGACTGAATTCAAATGGGGGAAAGGAGGATGGGGAAAACAGAGCAGGGGACTGTTTGCCCAAGAACTGCTTCAGGAAGGCACATCAAGCCGGACTTTTTGCGACTAGACAGACACCTACTTGTTTTGCAGAAAACTGTATTGTAAGAAGCTTTTGTCACTTATCAATCGGGTACATACATTACTATTTGACGGCACGAGCAGCTGTGCCTTCAAAGGATCGCAGTGACCTATCTTTTGATCTTGAAAGATCGTTCACTTAATGCAGGAAAGAAGAAGTTTTTGTTAACCTTGCAACTTCCAAGCTTTCCCACCTAACATCATCCCAGCATCGGCCTTCTTCGTGGTGCAACTGCAAACAACCAGAACTTCAAACCACATCAGGAGCACACATAAAATGCATGGATAAGGACGCAGAGCAGGCCTAGAAAGCTATGATATGCAGTGTCCACAGCAGAGCTGTGCTGTTGACAAAGTTCAAGTATCCTCCCCCAAATCACCTTGTCTGAAATCAGTATGTATCCATTTGTATGGGTAAACTTGATCATCGGGAACCACAAAGAACGAGAACGAGTTCCAAGTAAGTCCAGCTGGTGAGATGTTGAACTTCAGGTGGCCGATCTGAGGGGTGACGTCCTGAGGGAACTACTTACACTCAGCTGTGTGATGTCCTCCTTAGGCCCTCCATCCGTTTTGGTTACTGTCTGGAGGGAACCTAACACTTGCCTTTGAGAAACCAGACAGGAATACTGTCACGTCCCCTACGTAGCATCTCATGGAATTTCCTCTCCCAAAAGCTGGAACAGTACTAGAATTTAATACAAAATACAGATGAAGATTTGGTTCATTGCCTAAGAAACCTTCCATGAAAGTTGTGACACATTAAAGACATTCATGAGCTGACAGTAGTAGCAAAATGATAAAAATTCCTGAAAAGAGCCAACTATTTTTTCACATTTCTCTGTGGGAACTACTACAAAAGACCACGTGTGTTCTGACTGAGCTCCTGAAGTGGCATGAGGCTTTCCAGTTACTCTAGAAACTAGAGAAGTTCAGTAAGTATTGTCAATTATCAACCACAAGATTTGAGCTCACTAGGAGACCAAGAATCCCTCGTCTGAGGGCAACACCTATGTAACGGCGTCACGGACGAGCCAACGGTCCAAACGTCTTATAATAGCTATTCACAGCTAAACAGTATAGGTATTGAAATAGATGGCTGAAGACAATCTTACTTGAGACAAAGCACTGAGATAGAGCTCAGCAGAGCTTATGTCAACACTCATTGGGCAAAAATCTTTTCACGATAATGAGAATGAACAGGTTCAAAATGCTAAAGACACCTCCAGGTTTTTTCCTATCATGAAGAACTTGGAGCAGGAACCAGAACCTCTCACCCTTCTGACAGGGCACAGACTGTTGTCAGGTAAGTGTGGTAACTAGAAACACCTTCCCCCTTGCACACTGCATTGCCTAAAAAAATTTAAAAAAAAGCATAGTCACAATTATTGGCTTGAGTTAGATGCACTCAGTAAACCGGAAATTAGTTTCCTTCAGTCTATTTCTTTTCCTCCAAGATCAGACCCCTTTTTTGGTGCATACCACCCAGTGATGGCACAAAAGGTCAACAGAAACCATTTGAGTGACAGGAAACCAGAACACCCTTCCCCGCTCATCACAACATTAACAGAAGCTTAGAACTTCTACCGCTGAACATGAAGAACAACGTCACAGCAAGGAAGAGTCTTCCCAGATCAGCAAAAGTCTTCACTATGAGAAATAAAAGTCACAAGCAAGGAAGTGAGTTTTCTCTCACCCACATAATCATATTATTTCTGGAAAGCGCTGAGAGTCGGTTCCCTAGGAGAGAAAGGCATTTCAAAGTAGCATAAATCGACTTAGCAAGAAATAAAAATGGATCCTAACTTTTTCTGTTTCTTTTGTCCAGCTCAAAGGCCATTCAAAGGACCTTAAAGCTCAGAAAATGGCAAATCCCAACAACTGGGCTGGTCAGTAGCTGACATACCTTTGCCATCTAGCAGAAGCACAGCCTTCAGCCAGAGAGACAAATCTTGGAAAGGTAAAGCAAGGAAGAAAGCCGCTCCAAGCTTAAGAAAGTGATAAATTCAAACGAGAGACAGCCTGTCCTCACTGCAATGTTAATTCAAGCATCGCCTCAGCCTATGCACACAGATTTAAAAAAAAAACAAAACAAAACAAAACTTCAGCTTAAATTAGGTGGTACTTTAACCCTGAGCTGGCTGGTCCCAGGGCACAGCTCAAACACAGGTGACTTGCATTTACAAGGCAGCCGGGCCTTAGCTATTGCACACTGCTAACCTGCGGCCGGGCTGTTGTTTTACAGTAAAAACATAAAAAAAGGGGGGGGGGGGGGCGGTTGACCCTCGGCCAGACGATCATCTGCCCAGTCTCCTCTCTCTAACAGCGGCCAGGAGAAGTCTAACAATAAGGCAGGCATGGAGCAGTACTCCTCCAGGATACTCCCCAGCTTCCAGCACATGGCAGCCGGGGGATTTCCTGAGCCAGAGGTGGTGTCTTTGTATTTAATAGTCCTCAGTGGATTTTTGGCTCAGTGCAACAAAACACACTGAGTAAGCTTTATGTGGAAAGATAACTGCAAAAGCAATTGAAAAGGCAGAAGACAAAATAAAGGTGAAGGAACATCAGAATTGGAAACTGCAATATCCTTGGCAAGAAGGGGAAAAAAAAATTCACGTAAAAACTCAATCCAAGTTTTAGACTACCCACTGCCCTTTGAGAATCAGAATCCATTTCTCATCAGTTTCTCCTATTCAGTTTATGTAATCACAAGATAAGAATCTCAGCGGCAGAACTATTACTCAGAAGTTCAGCCGTATCAGCTATGAGAAGGATGTTGATTCTGCTATGCTGGGAAGAGCCAATGATGCCGTTTTTCCATTAAAAATATTTCAGAAGGAGAACGGAATTTGTCTGCAGACTCAAACCTTTAGGGTGATCATAACTTAGTCGGCAATCCATTATGCTTTGGTTTAGTCTTTAGTACAGCATTTACCATTCTGACAACGTGTAAAAGAAAATCAACACTCATTTGTACTTTGCTTTTTTTCTCCCCATCTGTCTTCCAGACCTACGGAGTTCAACAAAATGCAGTAGCGATTTGAAACTACAACCCTGCTAAACTGCAGCTCTCATACCTGAAGCTAATAAACACGTAATAGGGCACAGCTCTTTTCAGACAGCGCAATTTATGATGAAGCTTCCCTGATCTCTACTGAACATTAAGCTTTGCAAGAAACAGACCAAGAAAAGAATTTTTGTTAATGTTTATTTCTCCCCTCAAACTTCAGTGTCCCTCTTAATACTCTCCAGATACTTCTTAACAGCAGAGACTATAATAAGATATCAGGAAACGTTAAGTCTAAAAAACAAAGTTTTTGGACAAAAACGGTCCTGACTTCAAAGGCTAGAAACGTAGGTGCAATGAGGCTCCTACTGAGCTGCTGCGCGTAGAAATTTCTTTTGTGCGTGTCACTGTCCTGATAGCTAGCTTTTTCAGTGTTACATTCCCCCAAACACTGGACGGGTTGACATCGGCATTAGAGGATCATTTTCACTCTTTATTGCATAGCAGTGGATTTTAAAATCCTGATATTGACTAATTCTTAATACCTCACAAGAATAAAATTATTTTTATACCAGGCAAAAATATCATTTAGAGCACTTCTATTTAATTTATAGCATCATCTTAGTATTAAATAACTGGTGGTGTTAATGCAATGCAAATTGATAGAAAAGACTACAAATATCTAGCTCTCTACAGTCTAGTAAAGTAACTGTTCTTTACATGATGGAACTAGGAGTTCTTACTTTCTGCCTGGATCCTGCCAAACCTAGCTCACGCAGGCAGTCCTGCTGATTTCAGTAGCGCTATCTATTGAGTAAGGGACTCACACAAGAAGGAATTTGCAGGTCTAGACCTTTCCGGCTTGACTTATAACCACGAAGCACATGAGTCTAGCAGTTAATTTAACACTTACGCTTCCACAGTCGTTCCTGCAGTCTGCTCATCGCAATCTTCGTCTGAGCTGCTACACGTTGCGTCAGAGTCCAGATCCTTCTCCACGCGAGACAGCAGCCCTCCGGCAGAAAGTGCAAACCCCCGGATTTCACCCGGCGCAACGCAAAATCCGTTCTGTACGTCTTTACTGGAACTATCCTCCCAAGTAGCCGCGCTGTTTTCTGGCCAACCCTCCGTACACCTAAGGGAGCTACTGTCTGAAAACCTGGCTGCTTCGTGGAAAACCTTCATTCTTTGTAGCTGATGTTTCACAAAGCATTTCAGCTGCTGATCGCAGTGTTTGATAACATGCTTTGCAAGGAGCATTTGTAAACGTTTCTGAGTTCTTTTGGCGCGACTGATCTCCATTTGTTGCTTAGTGACACACTGGAGTAAGCGAGCATACACCTCCTCCCGGGTGCAGCTCAAAATCCCTTCTGGAGGCCTGTGAAGGATTTGGTGTAATAAATCCCCTTTTTTTGTTTCGGCACAGACTTCCAGAGCCCTACCCAAAAACCCGTTCTTCTTGTACCATTTACCGCTTAAAAGCTGCGTTTCTTCTGCGGTACTGGATTCGGTTACACTTGAATCCAAAAGTCTATGCGTTTCTGCCAAATTCGGAGACGTGGTCTCTGAAAAAGTTTCCCCCTTGACCTGTTGCTCAGGTTGTGAACGACTAACCTGCCCGAACGATGTGTCAGCACCATTACGTAAGGAATTCCTCATCACGGAGCAGTCCGGCTCTCCAGATTGCCTTCGCTTACCGCTTTTGTTGCTAAACGCAGAATTGGTACTCATTAACAAGACAGACTGATAGTGCTTGGAGGACTGTGGAGAACCAAAACGCTGCCCACTGAAGAGATCATTCCTGAGGCTGGGCTCAGCAGTGGGGAACCCCAGGACCGAGCACGTAATCCGTGCGATGGGATCCTCTCGCATCGCCTCTTCCACTGCTCTGGAATTTTCCATGCACAAAGTTGTATCAGACTCCATAGCTCTAGAGGACAAAGAAGGTGACAAGTGGATACCATGACCTTTTGTTGCTGCCTCTCTGAGGGCTGGTGTCATTATAGCTACTGTACGCAGTTTACAGCAAACCTGAAAATAACATGGGCCATGTAAATTTTCTCATTTTAACGACATCATATACATATAGCAATTCTGTCAGGTATTTCATTTTTTAAATCATTTCAACATTATTCAAAGATTTCGTAGAGAAAGCAAATTATCTACAGAGCACGGATAGACCAGAGAGATACCCTCGTGAGTCACACAAGAACAATCTGTTTTTTCTTTATGTCACACAGAGGTTGTTCCAAGTGCAGTAAAAGCTTTAACGTCTCCGGGGAGTAGATGTTCATACCTCGCTGCATTTCTGATCCTATCAGTCTGAGAAATAAGGCCCCCTAAGTTCAATATCTAACTTTGCCTAAGCTGAAAAACACGGCCATAAGCCATATGACTGGAAGGACGCATTTAAAAAGCGCACGCGCGCACACCCACCCCCACACCCACTCTCCTAAAACTGTGGCTGGATTTTGGTTTAAACTGCTCTGGAATTAAGTATTTCTTTTAATTACATTCGGTTTTCATTCCAATTTTTTAGAAACTTGAAATGAGTCAACGACAGTGTCAAACGGGAGATATGCAGCTACCTATTAAAAGTCTGGCAAAGCTGACCACATGATGAAACGCTCTGCAACAAATTCAGGGTTACTATTTGGAGAAATATGTTATTTTATCCAATGCTTGCTGTATATAAACTTACATTAACTATGTTATATACGCCCTCAAAGGCACTTTAGAAAACAATCACCAAGGCTAACGCTTTAAAAAGAGAGCTGTAAGTTCTAAGTGTTTCCTACAACCTTTCCTGTGCTTTGCATCCAGGTCTTCTTCACTCACTGGGCACCGTTCACATAATATAAAAACAATACCCTGATAACTCTTTGCAAACAAGAACTCTTTGCTTTTACTCAATCTCTTTTGCCTGTGACGTGAGGTGGTTTGGATCGATGGCTCCCCAACTTCTGGGATCAAAAGACCAGTGTCGGACCCTTCCCCGTTGCTGGTCAGCAGCTGTGCTGCCATAACGTATATTACCATTTCGCAGCCCACGGTGCAGGAATCTTTGTTTTACACCTTACTTTCAACTTTGTTTAGGAGACAGTTAAAAATACCCCAAAAGAAATTTACTTGGATGTGGCCTGCAGAAGCCTGCAAGATAAGCTACCGGCTGTTCTTGATTAAGAATAAATCCAGAAACAACAGGAGAGCAGCAGCAGAAGTGCCAGGAGCACAGTATTCCCAATCTTCTCTGTTTAATCTGTCTACTAGTTGAGTATCTTCTCCTCCATCTAATATCTTCAGTTCTTTTGATCTCCACAGCAATTGCCTAACGCAGTAATTTTCAATCCACAGATCCTGTAAGGGGTCAATACTTCTGAGTTCATCATTTACAGATCTTAAGAAAAGCTAACTCACTGTCTGTGAGTCTTGGCTCCCTCTTAACTGCAAGTTTGCACCTTCAAAGTAAAAACAATCAGGGCGGATGTGGAAATAAAAAAAAAAAGAGTTGAGAAGTACCAGTCTGGATACTTTCTCCTCAACCCTCAGGACACCAAGCAAAACAGGAAGGGCCACGTCCTCTGGTCCCCTACGCTAGGGACTGTCTGTATGCGGCGTCCAGCTTCTGTTGCTCCCACACGCGTCTGCTGTGAGGCTCTTGTGAGCCTGCTGTGAGGCTCTTGAGACAGCGCTCTCAGCATCAGCTTGACACACCACTTTGTGTCTTTCCGCTCTCGTAACTACAACGTTTTCAAATTCATCTTAAAAGAACTAACAGGCACAAGATTTTTTTAAATCCAAGAGAATATGGATTCACCTGCCCGTGCCTCCTCCCTTAGCAAACGGTAAATGACGTGGGGGGTTGGACTAGATAATCTCCAGAGGTCCCCTTCCAACCTCAACCGTTCTGTGATTTAAAGTAAAAGTGATTTGATTTAGCTTTAGCGAATTGAGGTTAAAATTAACGGAGAGAGAACTGCCTCTTCTCTGAAACCCACACTTTCTCTGTGGCTTTACTATGAACTCCAGAGCGAGCTCCCGCATTAAATCTTTCCCTGGGAACCCCAAGAAGATCTCTCAGATCCCAAGATCTGTCAGTGGGTTATCTAAGCATACCGAGTAATGAGGTTAAAACTTCTGTCTTAACCATCTACCTTCTTTAACCTGTGCGATTTAATAATGGATGAACTACTCTTGACAGCTAGGAAATGCCCACACACAGTACAGCTACTGCTCAAACAAATGAGAAGCTTGGGGACAAGTTGCTTATTTCACATCTATATAAAGTTAGAGGCTATTTCAAAAACAAACAAAAAAAAAGGCAGCATAAAATTCGCACACAGAAGTGTCGTGTTTCGACTTGATCACATTCCCTCAAATACTACATATGCTTCTGGTACACTTTCAAATTTCCTAAATTGCAATGAATACCATTTGCAAATTACTTTAAAGGGGTTTTTGAGTTTTGAGAATTTTTTTTCCCTTTTCAGGGGAAAAAGGGAAAGGAGAGAAAAAAATCAAAGTACTCTCAAATCAAACCACTAGCATTAAGCTAAAGAGCACCAGGCAAACCACTAGCTAATCAGGAGTTCCTGACATAAGATGCTTAAATCATAACACAGCTAAAAAATAAAGAAAATGCTTTCCAGAAGAGAGCTCTATTAACCCCATACCCAAGAGCTTGCAAGCCTCCCAAAATGCTTCTGCCCTGAAGACAGTCATATAAGACACTTCAGATGTGTCCCTCTAACTTCAGTGACATCAAACAGAATTTAAAAGCTGGTACTGTCCCAATCTCCAGTCTTAACTGCAGACACCTCGGCATTTCTCCAAGAAGTTCATACCAAGAAAACCCAACTTTGTCATTGGCATATAAGCAAAACAAAGCATCATCCACAAAAAGGTTTTAAAACATTGAGTGTAAGTACTTGGCTCCATAAAAACTGTAAAATTTTCCTGTTGAAAACCTAGGCATTTTTCATTTCATTTTGGCAGAAAGCAGCAAAAACAGTTTCACTCCACCCTTATTGGAGGGGAGTTCCCAGAGCCAAGCCTATTACCTCTTCCAATAAAAAGGGGGGGGGGGGGGAGGGGGGAAAAGGGCAAAAATAGGGTGTCTAGGAATAGACTGCAATTTCATTCTCGAAAAAGCTTTTCTGTCACAGGTAAACCTTTTTTAAAAAAGATTTTTTTTTTTCCACCTCTAGTACCTGAGGTTTCCTGTGCCAGCCTGCAGGCTGCCACTTTTGCTCAAGGGCCCTTTCACTTTCTGACACCCCCCCACACACACACTTCGTTACACACCGCTACAGACACTGCTTCGGAGAGTTTTTTCTGGGGGGAGGGGGGATTTGTTTTTTAATGTTTCTCGGTTTCTGATCTGTTGGTTTTTAATTACAATAATACTTTATTTACATTGAGGGGATGTTAAACACCTCTGGACTGCCCTATTGCTCTTCTCTCCTTGTGAATCAAGTCGCTTTTTGTCACCCCAAATACCTGAAACTTTGTTAAGAACAAGATTTCTGGAGACCAAGATACGATTTTTATATTTACTGTTTTTTGCTTTCAGATTCAGGGCCTTACTTTGCCTACAAAGCGTATTTCAAATTAATATATCTAAACGGTTCCCAGGTTCTTCACAGATTAACACTATTTCAGATAGATGAGCTTCCAGTGTTTATTCCCTGTTTGTACAGAGCTTTCAGACAGCAAAGCACTTCAAAAGCAACAAAAAGTTACTGGCAGCGATGCCTCACGTAATAGCCAAAAGTAAGCTTCCCCAAGCCATGCCCCGGGGAAGGCATCTGCTTAGGTACACTTCACCTAGCTCCCAATTTTCACAAAACTCCTAGGATCGTGATGGTCTCTAAAAACTCCCCCCTCCCTCAGATCCATTTGATCCTTGCTCATGAATTTCAAGCCAATTGGCTGAAAGAAAAGTCAAACAGCTCGGCAGCATAATCTTCAGTTCCTTATAAAATACAGTTTGTAGCAACGACCAGAAAAGAGATGTTGGTCCCACTGGATACGTCCTGGTTAGGAATACTGCACTAAAGGAAAGAAAACTATATTTAACACACCTGGGACTATTCCTTAAGGAAAGGAATTAGAGTAGGCCGCTTTTGTTTTCAGTTCAAAAGCAGCACAGTTGCTCACGGCGCGTATTTAAACTTTTTTGTATTTTGTTCTATTAATAGACGGAAAAAAAACAGGTCTATGTGGGGAGTCTCAGCTTTCAGCAGCGCTCGCTGTGCAGTCAGTACTATATAGATAAAACTGCAAGCTCCAGTGTTTCTGCTCCCCAGAAGATATAAGCATAAATTTCTCCTCTTTGGAAAAAAACACCTAAAAAGGATTTCTCTTTGAACAGTAAAAGAACTCAATTTAAGACGGACCACCCAAACAGTCTGAATCATAAAAAAACATCAAAAAGGACAGACGTCAAGGGGAACTCATTAGTATTCATTTATGATAAAAATCCATGACTCATTAAAATCTCTGAACAAAGTTGTTTTTCTCCTTGCTCATCAAGCGCTTCTGAACAGAAGATCACATATTATACCCAAGTTTATTATCGTTCCATCAACTAAGTCCTGTTCACTCTATAATACCAAATCACAATGTCTTTTTAAGATATGCTAAAATTAAAGGCTCTGCATTAAATAAATCACACACGCCTCTCTCAATACGTCACATATGTCTCTAACATAAATATTTGTAATACTTTTAGATCCATTGTAAGGTCCTTGTGGACATTCCAATTATCCTTTTGAATGTCATTCTTTGAAGAGGGCCATAAAACCTGCTTTTAAACACGACCAGTGCAGCTCTTAGAGACTAACTAAGACGACTGGAATTTAAGCTCCCCACATCATTTACAGGATTTCACAATGCAGACCAATAAAGCAGGAGAGTCATAAGGCCCACAGACAGCTTTCCAAGTCTGCGCACTTACTAGCAATAACACTATGCTTTATCCAGTTTCATTTTCAATATTTACTTTTATTAAATTAAGGGGGAAAAGGAAATCCAATGTTCCTTTGACAGAAAACAAATTTCAGCTACTTAGTCACTGGAGTTTGATTTTGCTCTAAGGTCTGCTGCGTCGTTTCTCCTCGCTGACTATCAAGCGCCTTGTGATGTTTTATTTTGGGAAACGCTTCCACATTTCGCAAACGGGGAGCTGATGCGCTAAGCAGATTAAAAGGCTTGCTCAAGACCACACAGGAATTCGGAGCGCAAGCTGAACGATGCACCGGGATTTCTGGCTGGGTGCAGAACTTTACGCTCCGCTTCGTTACACGCGTGGACGTTACAAGCAAGGGGGCTGCAGTTTGGGAAAAACGACTCGGAGAGACGCACCGAGCGCCCTGCATGCCACCTGAAGGCTAAGGAGCCCGTGGAAGCGCCTTCAGCTTGACTCTCAGTGCCAAATTTCAGCCCAGGAAGAAAACTGCAGGTGAGAACGCACGCCCAAGCTTCCCATATCTCTATCGAGCCAATCATTAAAAATAATAATAAAAGCGAGTGTTACTGCAACGCCGTGCAGCAGGCGCGGGCACAGGCAGGCCGGGGGAAGGCGCGCCGCGCCGCGCCCCTCCCCGCCCGCAGGC